TCATACAGCACTCTACTACACACACATTCATACAGCACTGTACTACACACACATTCATACAGCACTGTACTACACAAACACAGTCATACAGCACTCTACTACATCTCTACAATGATAATCTGAATAGAGAGAGTTCAGTGTCTTGCCCAAGGACACTTCAACACATGACTGCTGGTGGAACTGAACCCCCAACTCTCCCATTGTAGTGTAACCGCTCTTTCCTCTTAGCCTCGGCTGCCCCACAGAGGTGTCAACTTCCATTTTGCTGTTTGGCTGCATTAAGAACTAAGTTTACATTTAGCATATTATTATTATTGCTCATTTTGACTTTAACTTCTGCAAAATTGAAATCCAGTCAAACTTTTTGAAAAACCGTTCTCCACACTAAAAGCTTATGGTGGTTTACACAGAGCGATGCTACGTTATGCTATGCTATGCTATACAGCGCTAAGCACAGGTAAGGACCACCTGGTGATGTCACCAACATAACAAAACATTTTTTATCTGTCTTTATGTTCATTTACGGTGTCTTACAGTGTCAACGACAGCAGTGTATCATATAAGTTATTGCTTTAGCTTTAGTGGTTTAGTGTTATCAAAGCTAATTTTTAGTTAGCTTATTAGCAGTTAGCAAAGCTAAGTTTTTGATTAGCTGTACCCACAACTGCTTGCATGCATGTAGAGCAGTCACCACAATAATTTGAGGAAACTATGCTATCTTGTTTTTATGTTGCTTGTCTAGTTTCTTCAAATAACTGAAGAGGCGGGAAATTGATGGGGCCACCATTACAACTTCTACATTTTGTTACAGTTGAATACAAGTTCTAACCAAAAAAGAACTTGACGTTATTTTATTCTGCTACAATCTGTGTATTGTTGGACGGGAAATGGAAAGCAGCAGTGTTAGTCTCTCTGTGCTAATTTAGTTTTAATGTGTTTTTGTTTATTTGTTTGTTTACAGGATGTGAGTAAGATCAATGAGGGGAAGCAGACTCTCTATCAGGAAGACACCAACAAGAGGATCCTCAATTCTCTGGATTTGCTCAACTTCCTGGACGAGGATGCTGCTAACGCCAAGCGCCTCCAGCATCCTCAAGCTGAGATGATCCAGCAGGAGTGAGCAGATCTTAGCTTTCAGACTTCTTTACAGAGGGGGACCAGTTCTGGTCCTGGAGGGCCATCCTCTTGCATGTTTTAGAGGTTTATCTGCTCCAACACACCTGATTGAATCAGTGGGTGATTAACAAGCTTCTGCAGAACATCAAGAGTTGATTTAGGCGTCAGGTGTCGGAGTAGGGAGGCCAGTAAAACGTGTAGATGGCGGCCCTCGAGGACCACAAATGGACTCTTCTAAGTTACACTGAAAAGAGAGATAGTTGACAGCATCTATAGTGTTTTGTCTGATTTTATTGTCTGTGTCTTCAGCATGATTCAGCTGCGTGAGAGAGTGATGAAACTGAAAGAGGACCATGAGCGTATCTACCACCTGAGCCGCACTGAAGGGAAGCCCACTGTGAACTGGGCCAACATCATGGATGAGAAACTGGTGAGGAACTTTCCCCCATCTCGCCAACACCCTGTTGTGTTATCCTGACACTTCTTAGGTAAACTGACCTAAATGTGCCTGCAGGAGATATGTTCTTATTGCAGAAATACTGGACAATAAAATTATATTTTGGCCTTTATGAGGTGGAGTTTTATGGAAAACCTAGAACAACTAATCCTGATGCATGCTCAATAATCCAGGTAGAAAAATCTATAAAAGTTAAATCTGGTCCTCTGGACATTCAAAAAAAAAACAAAAAAAACTGTAGAAACATTTTGTCTCTCATCCGAGAGACTTCCTCAGTCTGAGGTGCTGTATTCAGCTCAGTCTCTTAAATAGCACCTTCTCAGGGTGGATCAACCAGTTTGCTGCTGACAACCAAAACCAGCTGATCACATGCTCAAGAAGGACCATCAGCCTAACAATGGATCATTAGCACACTGATGGCTGTTTACTGTTCACAGAGGGCTGAGTGATACTAGCAATCACAGCATTGTAAGAGGGGGACAGTTGAACCCGGAGGCCTCCACCCCTGTTTAACGATGGACGATTTCTTTTTACAAAGATGGCCTCCTTTACTCCTCTCTCAAACCATCGTTCCTCTTTATCCAGGATGTGAACATGTTCATCCCTGAAAGAGTGACCGCTGGCCTGGAGATGAGTGTAGACCGCAGAGTCCTGGCCTGATGATGTTGATCTTCTGTGCTGGGCCATCCTTTTGGCCAGTGGCTGTTTTGTTTCCCCGATGTAAGACTGATCACAGCCCTCCTGACACTGAACAGCATACACAACATTACTCTGTTTGTACCGGGGGACTGGATCTTTGGGATGAACCAGTCTTTGCTGTAATTTATTTTGGGGTTTAAAAGCCACTGGGACGTTATGTTTAGAAAATAAACGTCTCAGTTTCTCTGATACTCCCTCAACATATGGAATGACCACTGGTCTGGGTTCCTCCTTTTCACCTGATGGCTGACTGGAGTCCTGTTTGGGTTTCTTCTCTGCTTTCAGGAAGGCCCAGTTAGGATATCCACATTGCTCTAGAGCCTGTCTTGTGTAGGATTTCTCCTTCTGCCTGGCTCCCGAGTTAGTGGGGATGCTGTCTGCTCTGTGGTACAGAGTCCTGATGACTCCTAACTTGTGCTCCAAAGGGTGATGGGAGTCAAACTGCAAATACTGGTCTGTGTGGGTGGGTTTGCGGTACACCTCAGTTTGCAAATGTCCTCTATCAGAGACTGAGACCTCACAGTCCAAGAAAGCCAACCTGCCATTTTTTACATCTTCTCGTGTGAACTTGCTGTATTTATCCACAGAGTTGATGTGGTCAGTAAAATGTTGGACTTCCTGAGATTTGATTTTAACCCAGGTGTCGTCAACATACCTGAACCAATGACTTGGTGTTGTCCCTGAAAAGGACGTCAAGGTTCTCATTTCTACCTCCTCCATGTAGAAAAAAAGATTGAATGAATGAATTGACTTGGATGTGTGATGAAACATTTATCTCTACGACTCTTAAAGATACACTACGATAGTCAAAATGGCCGAAACTCCTCTATGGAGCTCGTGCACACATTGTGTATGGAGGAGTCTGTCTGCTGAAAAGTGTGGCGCTCTCTTCATGATAGGTTTGTGGCCAAATGGTGGCTGCAGGGACCGAGTGGAGACTCTGGTGGGAAGAAACTTGTGCAATGAAGTACCAGCAGTGGGAGGGGTTTCCCAGGAGCTTTGCACCTGTGGCATTCAGACCAGCCTCTAGCTCAGTGCTTCTCAATTATTTTTGGTTACGCCACCCCTAGGAAGAAGTAAACTTTTCGTGCCTCCCGTCAACTCCCCGCCGCAAATGTAAATAGTATAATTTGTTTAAAAAATTGTTATAAATACACCTCTGCATAACATTGTATGCTTATTAATATAAAGTAAATAAATAAATATAGATCAACTTACAACAAAGATTATTAACATTGTTTTATAGTCTGTAACAGAAAAGACTTAAAGTGCATCAATTTGCCTGAAATTAAAAAAATATATATCCTTATTTAAACTGTAAACATTTTTGACCATTTGATACTGAACAATCAAATTAAATACAATCAATAAATAATACATTCAAATTGATCAGCAACATTTTAAGACAGGAGTTCAGGGGAACGCGCTCACAAGAGAAGAACCTGACAAGTTGTTTAATGACAAAATATATTTTGTTAGCAAAGAATAGATTCCTAACATTTATTAAACATCTGTTTTTATAACAAAATAAAAAACATCCAACTTGTGCTTTGACAATCGATAAAACTTAAAAAATGTTGTCAACGTGAAAGAGGAAAGAGGGGGCAGGTGTTGCTCTTGCTTTGAGTTTATACTCTTTGTTATTGCACGCTGTGGGTGAAATGCGTCCAGAGCGGAGGACATTTGCATAAAGAATAGAGTCCCAACATTTATTAAACATTACTTCTGTATTTAAAAAAAGATAAAAATTGTGCTTTGACAAACTAAAATAAAATGTTACAGTAAAAGAGGAAGAGGGGCAGGTAACGCTCTCGCTTTGAATTTATTCTCTGTCTCATGCGTGCTGTGGGTGACAAGCGTCCAGAGCGTCACCAGCTGAGGAGGTGTCACAGCGACACGGTTCAAGCATGGCTCCCCAAACAACAAGACAGACGTATTTGTTCATAACTTTATTATTAGTGAGTCCGAGAGTTGCTGGATTTTAGCAAACAGTTGCCGAACGCACCCTGACACAATGAGAATGGTGCAAAAAAAATAAAAAAAATCTACTCCCTGCCACAAAATGTTCCCTGGGGTCACATGCCCCCCCAGCATTGCTCCGGGCCCCCCCAGGGGGGCGCGCCCCACTATTTGAGAAGGACTGCACTAGCTCATCAGTCCTGTCAGAATGAATGTCCGTTTGTCCAAACTGAAGTTGTTCAGAACCACATGACCCACAGCACACCTACTTTTGTGTGACTGCAGAAGAAAGATTGAGTCTACGTAATGTAGAAGACAAGAGAAGGTTTACGATGATAAGAGTTTGAGGTGTTTGTGTAAATGGAGGCCATGTTATAAAATACCGTCCTTAAAGAACCGACAGTTTGTAAAGCACTTCAAGCTACACTTTGTCTGTTATTCAAAGAAATTCTTTTTAAATGTAAATGGACTGTACTTATATAGCGCCTTTTTATCTGATGGTGTAGAGGCAGGGCAGCCGGCTTGGGACCCGAGAGTCCCAGGTTCGATCCCCAGTCACTGCACATCACGTGGCGTCTCTGGGCAGCACGTCTAATCCCCAAAATGTCCCCCGGGCGCTTTCAATAGCTGCCCACTGCACCACCTGGTGGTGGATGGGTTAAATGCAGAGACTAATTTCGCCATTGTATGAAAACATACAGTGCTGACATTGTGATGACATTATTATTATTATTATTTCAAGATACTCAAAGCACTTTACACTACAATCTGTGCCTCATTTACCCATTCATACAGCTCTATACTAGATCTCTACAAAGCTAATTGAACAAATCATGTAAAAAAATGTACAGATTCAGGATGTTAAACCGTTAACATACAGACTTTATCTTATGAAGGTTAACTGCATGTTTACTATTTGTCTGTAGCTGTTTCAGCTGTATAATATCTGTAAAACCAATCAAGTGTTTGTGTTTTATTTCCCTGCCCAGGAGAGCCTGGACAACAAAGGCTTTGGCCAGGACCTACCCACGGTGGAATGTGAAGTGGAGGAGCACAACATCTTCCACAGCGAGGTGGAGGCTCTGGCTCCTCATATCGCCACCGGTGGAGACAAGGTAGAAGAAGAAATCCTACATCCTCCTTCGCAGAAGAAAGCTGTGCTACAAAGCTCAATTATGTTGAAGTTAAAGTCTTTAAAGATTTTTAAGCATCTCAAAGAAGGCTTTTTTTTTTCAGACAGCCTTGTAGTAGTAGAGGCTAAATTCTTAACCTGCTTCAGAGTCGTTCACAACTTCAGTTTAAGCTTTAACTTTCTGCAACACATGCACACAGTGGTTTTATATTCTGCACCTTCCATTAATACAGTGCTTCTCAATTATTTTCGGTTACGCCCCCCCTAGGAAGAAGTAAACATTTCGCGCCCCCCCAACTCTCCACAGCGACTGTAAATAGAATAATTTGTGTGAAAAATTGTTACAAGTACACCTCTACATAACATTGTACCCTTATTAACATTAAATAAAGAAAGAAATATAGATAAACTTACAACAAAGATTATTAACATTGTTTTATAATCTGTAACAGAAAAGGCTTAAAGTTCATCAATTTGCCTGAAATTTAAAAAATGTATATCCTTATTTAAACTGTAAACATTTTTGACCATTTGATACTGAACAATCAAATTAAATACAATCAATAAATAATCCATCCATCCATTTTCTTTACCCGTTTATTCCATTTTGGGTCACGGGGGTCGCTGGTGCCCATGTCCAGCAATCACTGTGCGAGGGGCGGGGTACACCCTGGACGGGTCGCAAGTCCATCACAGGGACACATAGAGACTCACACCTAGGGACAATTTAGAGTTACCAATCAGCCTAACATGCATGTTTTTGGACTGTGGGAGGAAACCGGAGTACCTGGAGAAAACCCACGCATGCACGGAGAGAACATGCAAACTCCAACCAGAAAGGCCCCTGGACCGGGGTTTGAACCAGGGACCTGCTCGCTGAGAGGCAGCAGCTCTACCAGTTGTGCCACCGTGCTGCCCTCAATAAATAATAATAAATGAAAATTGATCAGCAACATTTTAAGTCAAGAGTGTTATATACAAAAATGTATATATATGTAAATTTGTGCTAATTTTTTTTTTTTAATCAAAATGAGGAAGTCAGGATTAATGGCTACAATGAGCACGTTTTGCAGTGCACAACTTTTTGAAGCAGAGTTTGAAACATGATCCTGCAGCTCTCAGCTCCTGCTCCATGTTTAGCTGGACCTGGACCTGGACCTGGACCTGGTCTCAGAGCAGCAACAGCAGAGAAGTCGCAAAGAGCGCAAGAGCGAGTGAGCGAGATGGATGGCTGGGGGTGGGGGGTCCAGGGGAACGTGCTCACAAGAGAAGAACCTGACAAGTTGTTTAATGACAAAATATATTTTGTTAGCAAAGAATAGAGTCCTAACATTTGTTAAACATCTGTTTTTATAACAAATAAAAAAAAACATCCAACTTGTGCTTTGACAATCGATAAAACTAAAAAATGTTGTCAATGTGAAAGAGGAAAGAGGGGGCAGGTGTTGCTCTCGCTTTGATTTTATACTCTTTGTTGCTGCGCGCTGTGGGTGAAATGCGTCCAGAGCGGAGGACTTGTTAGCAAAGAATAGTCCTAACATTTATTAAACATTACTTCTGTATTAAAAAACACTCAAATTGTGCTTTGACAAACAAAAATAAAATGTTACAGTAAAAGAGGAAGAGGGGCAGGTAACGCTCTCGCTTTGAGTTTATTCTCCGTCTCATGCGTGCTGTGGGTGACGAGCGTCCAGAGCGTCACCAGCTGAGGAGGTGTCACAGTGACACGGTTCAATCATGGCTCCCCAAACAACAAGACAGACATATTTGTTCATAACTTTATTATTAGTGAGTCCGAGAGTTGCTGGATTTTAGCAAACAGTTGCCGAACGCACCCTGACACAATGAGAATGGTGCAAAAAAAGAAAAAACCTAATCCCTGCTGCAAAATGTTCCCCGGGGTCACATGCGCTCCCCCGGCATTGCTCCGGGCCCCCCCAGGGGGGCGCGCCCCACTATTTGAGAAGGACTGACTTAATACAACCTTCTGTTCAATGAAGTCTCGTGCAAATGAAGATTGTTCCAGTGACACCTGGAAAACCTGTTTCGAGTTCCTCACTGTCCATCAGTCTTCAAAAAGCAGCTTCTTTATCAGGGACCCCTCTTCCATCATGTCTGCCCAGTTCATGGTGGCTCATGGTGGCTCATGGTGGCATGATGGCCGTCACCTGGTGCTGTGGTTATGACAGGCATGGGTCCTAGCTGTGCAAGAAGACCACACAGCCTCTTTTCTAGGAGCTTTTCCAGCATGGAGGAGCCATGCGGACACACCTGAAGCTTCACCAGTGACGCTGTTATGTGTTTGGCGCCCGTGCATACGATGCATGTTGGGTGAGGGCCCCCTCCCAAGATGCCGACATGGGGCACAGATGAGATACAGCCTCCTTGGTGTTAGGTTCAGACTCTTTGGTGGGGGTAGGTGTCGTTTCCACGAGAGACGAGTATGTAGCTTGTCATGACACATTAGCCCTTCTGTCACTATCATTAGCAGCAGGGTTAAATACAAGCTAACAACGTTGGCTAAAGCAGCTTGTCATAACTTGTTAGCTGAAAACAAACCATATAGCTAACAAGCTAATGCTACGCCGAAGAAATATATGCTCGCCTTGACTCGTTAGCTTGAGTTACACCTGCAACCACTCAGTTAAAACCTAGCAGCAGCGGGAACAGCTCGCCTTGAGGCGGTCACTGTTTCTAATGTAACAAAGATACTTCTCACCAAGCATCAGCTCACTCAGCACGATCCAGACTGGACCTGGGAACTGCATTCGGCTACGTACTCCTTTACGGGACGCCTAAGAACTGTCAGGCAGCTAACCTAGAAAGCCTGAATGTGCTGAGGGAGCTAGTTATAGTTTTTTTAGCATGATGGGGCAGAGCCCTGAGGACGTGATGTCATTGGAGCCTTTCATAGTTGGTCACGCTGGAGCATTTCCCGAAGTGAAAGCCCGAGCGAAGTTGGAAAAAGAACCTATTTTATGTGAAGCGTACAGAGTGAGCTTCATCAGAGCAGTTGTTGTAGTATCAGCTGTCTCTGGGAGAATTTAGATGAAATCAGGCCGGGCGGACTTCTGCACCTCTCTGGTCTTATTATTTCTGATGCCTGACCTGACCTTGGTTAGCTCTACGGTCCCTCCTCGAGTTATACTAACACTCTGTGACTGGTCATTGTTGTAACTGTTTGAGTTATATAACTGAACAAAGGTTTTCTGTTTTTTAGTTTGGTGTAGTGTGACGTGATCCTCATGGCCTTTGCCTTCTTCTTCTCTGTTGTTCATTTGTTTGTGCAGGAGTACATCAGCAGCCTCCAGACGAAGTACAGCAAACTGCTGGTAAAACATCTACACTTCTAGACTCATCCAGTTTTGTAGCATCTTCTGGGCAGACAGATCCTCACTGAAGTCAGCACAGACAGCAGCTGTCAGTGCTAGTTAAAAGTTTTGTACCGAATGTTAATCAGACGAATGTTGATGAAAAGTTTCACCCAGCTGCGATCATTAGACTTCCTCTAATTGGAGTGGTAAATGATCGATTATAAACCAAGCACCAGCTTCATTAAAAAAAAAAATCAACCAACAACAACATAGGTTCACAGTTTGTGATTGAATGTTTTTCCGTGTTTCTTGAAGGCCAGCTCTGCAGCTCGTCAGCGCCACCTGCTGAGCCTGCGGGACTACATGCAGCACTGCACCAACGAGCTCTACTGGATGGACCAGCAGGCCAACGAGAGGATCAGCTACGACTGGAGTGACACCAACCTGGACTACCCCGCCCGCCAGAGGCAGTACGAGGTACCAGGGAGACGCTGTCTGCACACGAGAACGAGCACCATGAATCAGACCTGACCTGATCTTCTCTCGCCCCTGCAGAACTTCATCAGTAAGTGTCTGGAGTCCAAAGAGGCCACCGTCACCAAGCTGAACGACGATGGACAGAGTCTGATCGCTGCAGACCACCCTGGGAAGAATGTGATCGAGGTGAGGACTCGTCTGTTGGCTCCTTCAGCCTGATGCCGGTTTGTTCTTTCACAGACTGAAGATCTTTAGGTCCTTCAAGACTCCATGAAGACCGATGTCATTATTAAATGATCACTTTTAGATTGTCCTTAAAACGCAAACTTATATATTTTATGTGTAATAAGAGTACACAAATCTCACAGTTTTAATCACAGGCTTCGGACCAACATTTAGCGTAGATGCTAACTTAACATTGAAAAAAGCTAACACAACTAGTATTGTGTTTATCTCTGGACATTAATGTGCAGATCAGATGTTTTAAAGTCCTCACTAAAGACCGTCATGTTAGGATAACTTCAACACAGTTTCCATTAGAACGTACTGGAGAACCGCCATGCCAGTAGGACACCCTGTGACCAGTGTCTATAAGAGCTGTTTGAAGCTTCTTCTCTAAAGAAACTGGAGCATCTTCAGATAAAGGACCTTCTAGAGACATGTTAACTTGAGTGTTGTTGACAAGATAGCAAGAAAAAAATAACGTATTGGGACTGATCCAGATGAGACAGAAAAAGACTAGAACATGTGGAGAGTGGGGGCTCTGTCCCAGCGGTCCTGTTCTTCAACTTTATGAATTATTGTGTACATGAAGCAACTATTGTGATTCATTTTTCTTCCATACGATTCTCGTCCCACAGTTTTCAGCTATTTCAACAAATCATATAAACGTCCAGCTCTTTCAAGGCAGTCCTGCTGTGACTTTTGGTATTGGTGCAACTTTAGCTTTTTGAAATATTTAGCCTTTTCTGTCATTTTTTTCTCTCATAAAAAACGAATTAAGCTCATTTTCCATTCTTCAAATTTTTAGATGTGTTTACAACCGTTTACTGCTCTTTCACATTTTGTTCTGCTTCAGCTTCTTTCTGCTTCCTTGTACAAATTTAAACTTTTTTCAGCTAATTTCAGCTGGTTTTTCAGCTGTTTTGTGCTTTCAGCTTCTTTCTGCAAGTTTCAGTTTTTCTGTTATTTCAAGTCAAGTCAAGTCAATAATACTTTATTAATCCCAAAGGGAAATTATTTTGTTGTTGTAACTCGTTATCCTCATTTCATTAAGAGATGTTATAGATGCTGATGGCTCTTGTTAAGGTCCATCCCTCAGTGGATCCAAAGAAACTGGCTGCAGATGCCGTCCGATCCGTCCACCCAGACTCGGCTGGCCTCTCGGTTCCCCTGGACTGTAGGACCACCTGAATGCTGGGCAGAACTCCTCCCAGAGCGATGGCCACTCCTCCCAGCAGTCTGCCAAGCTCCTCATAGCTGCGGACAGCCAACTGTAGGTGCTGAGGGACGATCCTGTCCTTCTGCTGTCATGAGCCGTGTTTCCTGCTAGTTCCAGGATCTCAGTGGTCAGGCACTCTAGCATAGCTGGCAGGTAGATGAGAATGCATCCACATAACATCCTTTTCAACTCATTTGAGAGTTGGGACCATAGTTGAGATATTATTTGAGCTTTTGAGATGTTAATCAGCTGCTGTTGTTGTAGAAAACTGCCTTGTTGCCATGGTTACGCATCATAACAAATGTCCAAAACCAAAAAAAGTCTCAGTAAAAATCCTTCCAGCTGCACAGCATCTGATACCAGAGGAAACAATAATCCAAAAAATATGATTTACATCCAGAAAACCAGGAATTAAAGTTTCCAAAAGCAAAATCTCTGAATGAAAGTAACAGAGCTGCTCCAACATGCAGCCACCTGGAGCGGCGGAATATTTCAGCTACTATTGAACAGTTTTTTGTTGCTAATTTTAGCTTTTCAGCTAACTCCACATTTTTTGCACTCATTTAAACTTTTTTCAGCATAATTCAGCAAAAGTGTGCTCTGTCCACTCCTATTTGGTCATTTAAACTTCTTTCTGCTTCTTTCAGCCTATTTGGGCAAGCATGTGTTCTTTCTGCTTTCTTCTGTTAATTTGCTTGTCCTAAGTTTTACAGCTACAATCATTAAGGTTCTGATCCAGGCAGGAGAAGTGAACAGTGTGTCTGTACACAAACTGAGTTTAGTTGTTTAGTTGTTGTAATTTGTCTTTAAATTTTCACGTTTCCACTGAAGTTAAAGCCGTCAGTTTTCTTTAGGATCCACAGGGAAATGATCTCAGCCTCATCAATAACGTGTTGTCAGTAGAAAATTGAAGACATGGCAGATTGTCAGCAGCAACAGACTTTTGATCAAAGTGTTGGGAGTCAGTTCTGCACGTTCAGACGGCTTCACATTGTTGTTGGCTCCGTGCTGAGCTGAAGGTTGCTTCATCAGATCTGATCTGTTCGTTGGTTAAAAACATTTCTTTTTAGTAATGATTTCTCCTGATGTCATCAGGCCCACATGGAGGCGGTCCATGCAGACTGGAAGGAGTACCTGAACCTGCTCATCTGTGAAGAGAACCACCTGAAGCACATGGATGAATACCACAAGGTGAGACAGAGGCCAGGTGGTGTAGAGCGCCACCAGGTAAACTAATGAGCTCACTAATGCCTGGCTGCTCGTGTACAGTACCACAAGGAGGCCCGCGACACCCAGGACCTGTTGAAGCGCCTGGACACAGAGGTGACCCAGAAGTACAACCCAGAGTTCAAAGATGTTTATCAGATGGAGAGCCTGATTGGAGACCTGAATGTGAGCATTTCTTTACCTGAACACCAAGAATGCCTAAATATGCTGCAGCAGAGGAAGAATTCACTGTGTGCGTGTATGTGTGTGTGTGTGTGTGTGTGTGCGTGTGTGTGTGTGTGTGTAGGACCAAGCCAAGGCTGTTGAATACTTTGATGAACGGGTCAAGAACCTTCAGAACAACAGTTTGCAGGTCTTGCCCTTGAAGTACCGCAGGGAAACCCCTCAGAAGCTGCTGCCGGTTGAAGCGCTGTGTGAGTTTGACAACGATGAGGTATGGACCTGTCAGGACCAGAACCGAGCCTCACAACGAGGGCTCACATCAACATCTGTTTTGTATTGTCCCTGATGGTGGTGGTGGTGGTGTGTGTGTGTGTGGGGGGGGGGGGGGGGGCGGTGAATTGGAAATTCTAATATTCTGACTTCCATGTTGGTGCATCCAGGCTTAAGAGAGTTCTTATTGCCACATCAAAATCCAAGATGGCCACTGCCATACAAATATATGTAAACCAAACACCCCAGCTATTGGAGGCTTTCTAGTTTTTATATTGCTAAAAGTACAGTTTCCTCAAATGATTGGGGTGGATGAAGATTAATCTTATGGTGTCCAATGCCACCATTACACCCCCCCCCCCCCACACACACACACACACACAATTCACCAGGATCCGTCACTTTTTGCCGCTTCAATCAAGCAAAAAAAATCACCACCACCTGTTCCACAGTGTCATCCATCCATGCATCCATTATTGACACTTTGATCGTTGTTATTTTGATAAATTAGCGCCGTTGTTTTGATGTAATGTGAATAATACACATCAAACATTTCTCTCGTGCTTTTTTTTTTTTTACTGTCAGCTTTTTTATTTATTATGTCTGAAATGAATGTGGGAGTTCAGACACATCAGCAGTAGAGGATGACACAGAAGTGGATTTTCACTCCTGTCCTGTCCCACTCCTGGTAACATGACTCCTGCTCCTGTTTTTTTCTCTTCATTTAATTTTGAGGAAATACATTGAATTTGATTTGATCTTCTACCCATTCCTGTTTAAATTACTTTGTGTTGTGTAGTTTTATTTCAAAAGATATGGCAACAGGAACAGTTCATCTGTGGTGAAATAGAGACATTTATTTCCTTAATCCAAACAAAAACCTTCACTAAAGGGCACAAATCAAATCCATGTCCTGTAGTCCATATAATTATTCTACAGAGGATCAGCTGCTGAGTCTGTTTCTGGCTCTTTTGAAGGTCAGTTACAGTAAAAACAAAAAATCTAAACCAGTCCATGGGTCACACCATGTCTACCTTAGATGAAAGAACCCAAACATAACAAGTTGCATTTTACTAATTTATTGAGCAATTGTTTCCTTTAAACAGTGACATTACTGTCATGTTTTAAATTGTTTAAACAAACTAACAAAATAATAATGTACCAAGCAGAGAACTCAACAAATAAAAATGCTTAAAGGCATTATTATACATTGGACGACGTCCTCAAGAAGTTCACAGTCTATGTGTTTGAGGTAACGAGCTCGTTAGGGTGAAGCATGATGTCGTGCATCTCACCAGACTTCAGAGCATCATTTACAGACTGGACCATTGCAGGTCTGGTGTTCCACCTCATCTCTCCACAGCTGGACCAGTCCAGAGCCTTGTGGAACCTAAAAGTGAAAGACGACAGTGCACGAGTCAAAATAGGGTCACAGTGACTACAAATTACAATCTGTTGGCCTTTCTTTTGGAAAAAAATATTTTATCAAAAACAAGAGATTTACAATTGAAATTAAGTCAAGAAAATGTGACATTTGCAATTATAAATTACAGAAGCTCAATTTTTCTTTATTTATTTCACTTATCATATTTTATATTTATTTAATCAGCCTCACCAGGCAGAGATTATAAGATTTTATTTATCTTACCTGCTCTTTTGAAGTGTGTGACAAGGGTCTTTGTGTCCAAAGCTGTTTAACAGTTTGCTTCCAGAGCTTCCTGTGTTAGGTAGAAAAATTAAATAAAATTAAAGACAAACAAAAAGCTTAGTGCTACTTCTTGTGCCATGCTTTATAAAACAGTTATTGAATAAAGTATTTACTTATGTAGGTAAACATAAATGTTTTAAAACCTGTTAAAATACACCAGAATGCAGGAAATAGCAGCTACTTTATTAAAAAGTTATGGGGAGGACCCACAGACCTCACACCAATATGTCCCCCTACAGTAATTCTAATGATAATACGCACTGTGTTGTTCAAGCCAAGAGCCATTGTCAACACTGGGGGGCTAAGGCCCCTAAAAAGGGCTTCTAGGATCGCCCCTGGTGTGAAGAAATGAACTGAGAAAAATCAACTCTTGGCCTCAAATTTAACACAACAACATACACATCATATCTTAAATCTAAAACTAAAACAATTATTATAATACATGTATATATGTAACCAGTCTTTCATATAAAAACTGGGATATTTTTACCGGAGAATGCTTTCACTAACGAGTTTGTTGTTGTACTGGCATGGTTACAGCCGACAGTAAATATTTACACAATAAAGTGATGATTATTCACGTTTTCCTCGATTTCAGTATCCAGCAGAACGTCACAATATAAAAATAGGGATATTTTTACCGGAGAATGTGTGCACTTTAACCAGGAAGAGTTCAGTTGGGTTTTTTTTACATTAAAAACCCACATAACAAAGCAGAGCATAATTTTTTAATTAAAAGGGACAAGGTGGAGAAAAATGCGCTGTTTGAGTTTATTTACTGACGGTAAACAAAGTCCGACTCCCCGCAGCTCCTCACAGCTGAGACTAAAGTTTAAAGCAGCACAGCACCATCACAACTCTTAAGTTCAGGGTAATTTGACACTTTCCTGCCCGTTCTGCGAGTTTAATAGACAGACAGTTACTTCTTACCTTGCGTTGCAAACTATTTTCAGTTACTCAGTACCGCTTCGCTGCTCCTCCCACCCTCTTGGGGAAAAGCTATGGTTGGAACAGTTGACTCCTGGGAAATGTAGTTATTTTGACTTGTGTTAAAGTGAAGGCTTACTGAAAGAAAATTACAAAATAGCTGCGCCCGTTTTTTTTTTTTGTTTGTTTGTTTCATTTTCATTTTTGGTTATTGGTCGGTTCCCGCTCCTGTCTGGTCCTGTTAGCTTTCAGTCTGGTCACGTCCCGGTCACGTGAATTATAATGAGGTTGACTCCGGTAATCACGTGACCTGCGGTACTCCCGAAAAAATGTCATCCTCTAATCAACAGTTGTGCACACACGCTCTGTAGAGCTGTCTGGAGACGCTCCTTTGTATAACGTGCACTGCTGAAGGTGTTGGATGAAGGCACTTCATCCTTGCAGGACATGTCGTTGATGTCTGCTGGGCAGGAGTGTGTGCACGAGCTGGTGCGCGTGCTGCAGTCGGAACATCCACTCTACAGACTGGGTCCGCCAGGCCAAGGGCAATGCCTCCTCTTGTATTTTTAACAAATAATCAAAATAAAAATGTGCGATGACTTTGGACGTTTAGGGGCGAAGATTTGAGTTGACTGATCCGAGCAAACAGTTGCTGGAATACACCCTGCCAAAATGAGAGAGTTCCTGGGTCTTTTTCTGGCAGGATCTGGCTCAAATTAAGCCCTGGATGAGGGACATCGGTGCAACAGGGGTCATCGGTGTACCGCTTATTAATGACCAAAATGACAGCAGCTTTTAGAATAAGTTGTCTAACTCTAGTTGTTGGACATGTGCAGTGTCAGATCGTTCGTGGTGAGAGGTACACCCTGCTTCGAAACAACGGCGCCAAATGGGACGTGAAGGATGGCACCGGCCGTAAACACACTGCCCCAGGCATCTGCTTCATGATTCCACCCACTGACCCAGAGGCAGTCATCATCTCTGACAAGTGAGTAAATGTTGGAGGCCAGAGGAGTTTGTTCTTGAGCGACGGCGGCCATGTGATGGGTTGTGTTCTTGCAGCTTGGCAAGCCAACTGAAAGCTCTGAAACAGAAGATGGCGAGCAGCAAGGCCACGTTGCAGAAACGCCACGACGCCCTGAAGATGGAGGGTGGGGGCGGCACAGCCACAGGTACAGGACACTCACCATGAACTGTTCTTTTCCTGCATGCTGAGCACTTTGATTTAGTTTGTTACTGAATGATACCTGAAAGCAAAAGTCAGGAGCCCCAGAGGGGCTACACAGATCATCTGAATCTGTAGAAACTAATCAGAGCTTTAGATCACATTCATACACCAATGGGACACACATCAGAGGCAATGAGGGGTTCAGTGTCTTGCCCAGGGACACTTCAGCATGTGACTGCTGGTGGAATCAAACACCCAACTCTCCCATTCGAGGACGACTGCTCTAACCAGTCTGAGGATTGTTCAGAACCATGCTGAAGATAGATCTCATTTGACTCAAATATTTAGCACTTTTACAATAATTTAAAGCTGTAATTAAATACATATCAAACAGAAGACATACATCCAATAAATAAATCCACTAAATCAAACAAATATTCATCAGACTCACTGATTTATTGTGGAGTCACACTATAAGTTATGAGTTACTGAAATTATTAAAAGTGATCTAATGTTCCTACTAATTGGAGATCCTTTTAAACCTTATAGTAGACTATAGAAAGTGTGTTTTAATGAATGAAGTGAAATGCTCATGTTGCTCTGTGTGACCTCAGACAAGCAGGAGCAGCAGTGCCGCCAGCAGATGGCCGGTCTGGATAAAGTCATTGGAGATCTGGACAAACAGGAGAAAGCCATTTACAGTCGAGTCCGCCCCCCGCTGGAGCAGAACCGGCCACTGCAGGACAGCGCTGACCGCCTGCAGGACCTCAGGGTAGAACCCTGAACCTGACTTTCATTGGAACAGTAAGGAGAGCGATCCTGTGCTGACTAACATTCACTTTTCTCCTTAGGACATTGCTGCAGCCGTCAGTAAGATTGAACCAGAGAAGTCGATGAAAGTGCAGGAAGCTAAGAGCTTCCTGGTGTCGAACCCGAACTGTGCCAGCGCTCCTCAGCTTCACAGCAAGGTGGATGAAGCTAATAAGAAATACGTGAAGATCGAGCAGCTTCTCTCCTGCTCCCAGGACAAGTAGGGCTTCTAACATATCCTTCATTATTCTTTTACAGTCATTCATTTCCTCTTTAGTTTTCTTTTTGTTTCCCGTCATGGAGCAGAGAGGAGAACTAGAAATATCCTCTGTCCGTTAATGTTGCAAGCATGAGAACTTAAAAAATAAATCACTTGTTAAGGAAAGTACTGGCTTCTATTTTGTTGTGTGGCTGTACCTACTGTAAGATTAACAAAGGTCACTATTGAAAACTGGGTTGCCACATCACAATCCAAGACGGCCACCACATGATGGCTAGACAGACAGACAGACACTTTGCCCGTCAGTCTGGGGGTGGAACCGAGATGACAGACTGACAGAGACTCCCAGGAGGCTACAGAATTCTTTCCAGAAACGAGATATGAACTGGGGTCCTCGGTCAGATATGATGTCCTCAGGCACGCCGTGTAGGCAGAACACCTCATGGACCAGAACCTCACCCAGTTATTTGGCAGACAGGAATTTTTTGAGGGACCAGATGGACCATCTTTGAGAACCAGTCCATAATAGTGAGGATTACAGTGTTTCCCGCTGGCTGAGACAGGCATGTAATGAAGTTCATAGCAATCAGTGGTCATGAGAGGATTGGGAAAAAGATGTAACAGGCCCGCAGGATGGCATCTAGAGGTCTTGGCTTGGCTACATTGATGGCAGGAGGAGACAAATTACTTATTTTCCTTGGTCAGGTCCTTCCACCAGAATTGAGCCCTTACTACTGCCAGGGTCTTGTTAATGCCTGGGTGGCAAAACAGTCGAGATTTAGGACAGAGATTAAGAACTTTGGGTACCTGGGAGTCAGGGACGAAGACCCGATTCTTGGGGCGGTCGGCAGGGAGTGGTTGGCTCTTGGGGACGCATCTAAAGTCCTCCTCAAGTTGGGATATTGACAATCTTACTGCTTCGGGCAGAATGAACTCGACCTGGTTGCTGTTTCTCTGTTCGCCTATGTTCTCATGGATTCTGGATAGTGCCAGCGTGTTCTTAGGACCAGGTCTGTAAGACAAGACAAAGTTAAATCTGCAGAATAATAGAGCCCACCTGGCTTGTCTGGGGTTGAGTCTTTTGGCTGACAAGATATTCAAGATTTTTGTGGTCAGTCCTGACCTGGAAGGGTTCTTTGGCCCCTTCCAACCAATGTCTCCACTCTTCCAGGGTTAGTTTGACGGCCAACAATTCTTGCTCTCCCACATCATAATTACGTTCTGCAACGGTCAAGCTCTTGGAAAAATAAGCACATAGGTGTACTTTCCCATCCGTGCTACGTTGGCTGAGTACAGCCCCAAGACCTGTGTTGATCATCAGTTCACTGTGGAAGTGGACGCCTCTGTCAGGGGAGTGAAGGATCGGGGCTGAGGCAAACAAGTTCTTAATTTTAGTGAACAATGCCTCAGCTCATTCATTCCAAAGAAACATGGTCTTTGAAGAGGTTAAGGCATAGAGAGGAGCAGAGCTCAAAGTGTAGTTTCTGATGAATCTTCTATAAAAATTAGTATATCCCAAGAACCTCTGTAGTTACATTTTGTCCATGGACAATTGGTTGGGTAAAATGACAAAGCCCAGGAACGAGGTGGAAGTTTGGTGGAACTCTCATTTTTCTGCTTTGATGAAGAGATTATTTTGTAAAAGTCTAAGCAGAACCGATCTATCATGTTTTTTATGGGAGTGAATGTCTTTGGAGAAGATCAAAATGTTGTCTTAAGTACACAAAGACGAACTGATTTACCATGTCTCATCATTATAAAGGGTCTGAAATACAGCGGGGGTGTTGGTTAAACCAAAAGGCATGACCAAATATTTGTAATGTCCGTTAGGGGTGTTAAAAGCCGTCTTCCACTCATCACCCTCTCTGATGCGAGCCAGGTGATAGGCATTCCTAAGGTCCAGTTTAGTAAAAATGGTGGATCCCTGAATGAGGTCAAAAGCTGAGTTCATGAGTGGAAGTGGGTACTTGCTCTTTATAGTGATCTTGTTTAAACCCCTATAATCAATGCAGGGTCTCAGAGAGCCGTCTTTTTTACCCACAAAGAAGAAACCTAGCTGCACCCGCTGGAGATGCAGATGCTCTGATGATATTGGCTTGTAGAGACACACTGATGTATTTCTGCGTAGCTTGGCTTTCAGGCGCAGAAAGAGAATAACTACCTCTAGGGTTGGTAGTGCCAGGGATGAGATCAATGGGACAGTCATATGGTCTGTGGGGAGGTAACAAGGTAGCTTTAATTTTATTAAAAACTTCCTTTAGGTCATGGTACTCAGAAGGGACCTTAGACAGATCAGGGTAGGTCTCTTGAATCTTATCAGGACTCAAGGCAGGAGATACAGCTTCAAACAAACAAGATAAGCACTCTTTGGACCACCCCATGATCTCTCTTTCCCTCCAGTTATTATGGGGATTGTTTACATAACCAAGTCACTCAGAGAATAATAGGAAGTTGTTGGGGACTTAATGATGATAAATTTAGTCACTTCATGGTGATTACCACCAATGAGTAGTGTGAGTGGTTCAGTCTCTTGGCTAGTCCTATGAACGGAGTACACAAGAGCTAACAAACACCCTATGGGAATGGTAAACGGACTGTACTTGTATAGTGCCTTTCTATCTTATTTCAAGATACTCAAAGTGCTTTACACTACAATCTGTGTCCTCATTTACCCATTCATACAGCACTCTACTAGATCTCTACAAAGCTAATTGAACAAATCATTCTAATGAGACTAATCACTGCTTTAGATCACATTCATACACTGATGGGACACACATCAGAGGCTATGAGGGGTTCAGTGTCTTGCCCAGGGACACTTCAGCATTTAGTTGATGGGACTACTTTAATACCCAGAGATTTAGCAAATTCATAATCCATGAATTCAGTGTCTGCCACAAAATCAATGAACACTGATAGTGATACTTCTTTATTTAGTACCTGGAGTTTGGCTGGTAACGTGAGCGGTGAGAAGATGGTGTGGTTCTTGATATGACTCAGTAGGATTCTCCTCTCTCCTACTGAGTTTTCTCTTTTTGCAGGCGCTTGTTCACAGCATGTCCTTGGTTTCTACAATAGTAGCATAGGTTAAGTCTCCGTCTTCACTCTCTCTCTCTTCCTGGATGAGACGGCTCCTGCTGATCTGCATGGGTTCCTCCTTTAGTGGGGGTGAGAATTCAATTTGTTTTAGTTTCTTTACGGTATATAGCACCAAATCACAACAAAGTTGTCTCAGGGCACTTTACAGGAACATTTACATACATGGAAAAGCCAATTAGTAAAGTTCTCTATCTAAGGAAACCAGCAGACATGTTGAATCTTGGCTTCGTTGTAGTCTCCCTTCCTGAGAATGTAGGCGTAGGTGAGTTCTTTAATGCTAGAGGTTTAGACTCACCCCATGGGTGGGTTATTCTCTCCGTCTTTCCTCCACTTTCACGTCTCCTCTCCAGGAGACGAAGATCGATGTGGGTCACTTGATTTTCCAGCATCTTTAGGGAACTGGGATAGTCCCTGGTGGCCAGTTCATCTTTTATCTAATCAGAGAGCAATTGAAAAAAAAATGCATCAGTTAATGTCTCCTCATTCCAATGACTATCAGCAGCGATGTTGTGAAAATCAATAATATATTCAGTCACCCTCCTTTCCCCTTGCTTTAAAGTGAATAACATATGGGCGGCCTATCCTGATGCATGCTCAATAATCCAGGTAGAAAAATCCAAAAAATATGGGCGGCCTCTTTCTTAGGCAGTATGGGATCAAACACCATCACAGTTCTTGAGTGAATTCGGATAACACATAACAGTGTCTGGTGTCACATTGCCATTCTGCTGTCCCCCATAGTTTTGCCTTATCGGACAGAAGAGAGATGACTTAGGCCAACTTGAACATCTCAGAAGTGAAAGCTGAGGGCTGGAGCTGAAAGTGTATCTCACATTGGGTAATGAAAGGACGACACTGATCTGGATATCCTTTAAACGTCTCAAGTGCAGGTAACCTAGGTTCATAAACTGGTGGAATATGATAGACAGTTGTGGATTGCACCAATAAGTCTGGTGAGTGGTAGTCTGTGAGGAGGACTGAGAAGAAAAACTGCAGAGCATGTTCATCAACTCCTGCATGATATTTTCTAGCTTAAGTATGGCTCCCTCTACACCAGACTGCCATTCCTGCATCTGCATCAAATCCATGCTTGGCCAGATTATACTGATATGGTTTGGGTTTAAGGATTTGAGCAAGACATCAGACAACAGGAATGGTATAAAAGTTTTATTTATAAAACACTGCTGGTGGTGGTCGAGGTCCTGGAGCGAGCCCAATCTGCAGAGATATGCAAGGTTAGTGGACTGACAGTTTCTGTGATTGAGCAGAATGACAACCACTAACCTTCTTATGCAGAAATGGTGGGCGCTTCCTGAATGAGTTGGGCAAAATGATGTTACAGAAGCAGACAGATGTGCAACAGAGAGGCTGGTTGGAGTGGGTCGTAGTCCAGACTAATATCCAGAGGCGAGAGTCAGGTGGAGATTAGAGGGTCGTTACTAGAGGGTCAGAGGTCCAATAAATCCAAGAGGAGAATCTGTGAGGCGTGGTAATAAATCCAGAAGAGCAGGTCGATACTGTGGTCAGATGGGTGATAAGGTAACAGGCAAGGAGCAGGCAGGCCGGTAATCCAAGAGACAGGTGCGGGGTCAAGGCAAGGTAATCCAAGAGAGCTTTGACATGAATGCTAGACATCTACTTCCTCAAAGGGTTTGATAATCTGGCAGAGTTTGGCTGTGAGCATGAGGCTTAAGTAGTGCTTGGAGCATGTGGACGGAATGAGTTTGATTGAGCAGAAGTGCAGAGGGGTGTGGTTGGAGAGCAAGGCTTGGGACCAGAGCATGACTTGGCAGAAAACATGACAGCTCTCTGCCATTTATTAGAACTATTGTTAGTGCGGAAAAACTTTGAACTGCAGCCGCCTGTAGTGCGCATGTGTGACTTCACACTTGGAGCATTTCACACCTCCGTGGGGGGTTCCCCCAAAAATCTCCACTCTGAGACCTGGATTCAGAAACCCTCGGTTTCAGAAAGAATGACAACTGTTGTTTGTAAATGAACGGCTGAACGTTTCACATCTTTCATGACCGGTAGATCGCGATTAATGTATTGGACACCACTGGCTTAAAACATAAAGTTTCCTCAAATGATTGGGGTGGCTAAAGGTTTATCTATGGGGGCCAAGGCCACCATTGTCCACCCCCTGGCTCCTCCAATGCACCTCGTGGTGAATAAAATGTCTCCTTCCACTCTCCAGGATCCGTCTCTCTGCTCTACCTCAGACATCAGAACAATCATAACTGTTCTCCTCCACAGTGTCCACCTCAATATTTGTGTTAGTCAGTTTCTTTAGGCTGCTCCTTCTTCAAAGGTCAGCACAGCGAGTAAACAAATACTCACTCTTCAAACTTCTCAGCGATGGGAACATCGGCTGCTTATTGTCTTTGAAGACGCTCTTTGAAAATTTCAGCTAAATGTTTGTAGTACTCAGCAGTCACATTAATTTTCCACAAAAAAAGTTAACTTTTCCAGCTTAGATTTTCTTTATTCCAAACTGAAACTTGAAATTTGAGAAAGTGTGTGTATTTTGACTCACCTCACTGCCTTTCAGGATGAAGAACTCCAACCAGCTGGAGATGTCTCTGCAGCATGGGAAGACCTTACTGTCCACCTACGAGAACAAGCTGGCACGGGAGGAGGTGGCTCCTGCTGACCTCAGCTCACTGGACAAAGCACTGCGAGAGCTCGGAGTAAGAACAAGTTTACCAACAGAAACTCTGCCATGAAGTTTAGAGTCACACAGTCCTGAGTGCAATCATGTCTTTGTTGGTGTCGCTAAGGATTCACAGTCATAAATCAGTCGTGGTTATTATAAATTTACTTTTTTTTTACTTAAAACATATTTTTAAAAAGTTCTTATGTGAAAGTGAAGTCAAATTTATACAGAGTAAGATTAAATACAATCGTAATAGAGAACTCTGTTCCATAAAGCTCAGACTGGTGAAGTACTCGGGCAGCAGTTGATGTATGCTCAGTGTCTCCATCTCTCCTGCTGAATCTGGTAACTCCTCCAGAATGGTCTCTCTAACGACTCTCCTTCATGGTCACTCTGTTTGTGAGGACAGTCTGCTCTTGGTAGATTTACACATGTCCCATACTTCCTCCATTTCTTGATGGTAGATCTAACAGAACTCCTGGGGATGTTCAGAGTCCTGGAAATCCTTGGAAACTTCCCCTGACTCGTACTTTCCAATAATCTTTTCTCTGAGTTCAGTTAGGACTGTCCCTTTCAGTGGGTGAAAATTCATGCAATCACTTATTTTATTTTAGCATTTTTATTTATTTGGCATTACTTTGTAGAAATGTGATTTGACATTGTCATTGTAGAGTTTTTAGACTTCTTATAATAGCTGTGATGGACTGAAGACAGCAATGAAAGTCTCAAACATCCAAGAGGGTGATCATAGGAACTGTAGATGGACAACCAAATACCTTTTGGAGTCAACCCTATTTAAGATGGCCGCCATAGCCAGCTGGCCTTAGAAAGCTCTAAATGGCTTTAGCACAGTTTTCTCAACTATCTGTGTCATCTCATAACATTAGATGATCTTTAAAACTCTTCGATGAACACCAGGCATGGAGTTTTACCTCTGATGAGGTTAAAGCGTTTCAAACGTTTCCAGTTTCTGAGACCACAGCTCATTTCATTTCACCTTCATGTAACTAACTTTATTAACTACTTCAATTAGCTTGAGCTCTGTTCCACCATCATGGATCATCATGGTCTGCTGCTGGAAAGACCCTCCATCCTTCTGTCCATCTGTGCATGTTGTGAGCATGATAACTGGAAACAGAAGTGGGTTACAGACCTCCAGGTTGGTGTGGCTGCATCTAGGCTTTAAATAGATCACCTTCAAAAACTGGGCTGCCACATCAAAATCCAAGATGGCTGCTATATACTACCATATCATTTTAGGAAACTGTTGGAGAAAATATTCTCGCTTTATGTCACTATTCAAAATGAAGCACACTCGACGGCACGAGAAGATTTTTAACCAGTATTTACTTGCAAGGACAGATTTTCAGGACAGATTACACAAATCTACAGGAAGTACACACAGATATACAGGAAGTACACACAGATATACAGGAAGTACACACA